TCCCCCTTGTCCTACCTACCATCTTCCTGAATTCCGTCCTGTCGGAGGAGGGGGAGGGGTATATAGCGCACGACAAACTTACCGAAACTAAGAAAAGTAAACAACTGAAAACATCTCGAAGATAATTACCCCCTCCCCCCACCGGCGATCAAATACGACCCTCCTCGCTGGGGATCCCGAACGTACAACGTGCTCTGATCTTGGAGCTATTAGAGAAAACTTCTTTTTCCTTCAAATTTATTATTTTAGAATACATGGTTGATGAAGACGGTAGATCCTTAATACTGATACTACAAGACAAAAAGAGAAAGGACATTGTTATAAAGGTGAGCGATTTATCTTTTAATTGACAGCTTGAGTCATTTGTGAGGGTTCGACATTTTAGGATATACATGCCGGAGGTTTCTGGACTATGCTTGTTTCCGATGACCAAGTTTTCTCGTTTGGGCTAAATAATTTCGAACACCTTGGTATCCCCATAGACGGAGAAGCTCCTACAGATGGTGAGTCATGTAGTCCTGCTTGTGGTACTGTATTTGGCTGTGATACATGAAGTAGCTTTTGTTTCTCAGAGTGCTGTGGTGCGTATAGTGCAACCTGTAATTGTTGTTTCCTTATAGCTTCCGAAGAAGACAAGCGAGAACTTCGTATTTTCACACCAGGTGTTGCCACGGCATACTTGGGCAAATCATGGACGCATATTGATGGTGTGCAACATATAATTGCTCGAGACAAAGATGGTGAGCAACCGTGATAGACCGTCTTGTTCTCTATTGCTCTTACATTTAATCGCTTATATCCCGATTTACCTCTATACAAACTGAGATTGGTTCTTTTGTTTCATTCGCCACATAATGAACTTGGGGTAGAGGTATTTTGAGGTATTCGTTGTTGAAGTTGTCGGGGTAGTATTTCAACGCGATGATATTGGCCTTCATATTTCTGTATGTATTTCGGAAGACAATCATTGTTACATCTACGGCTACCGTACATTCGCACATACGTATCCTCGCTCATACTCAGCGAATGGATGCTCCGTCATCGACAGTAGCGTGCATTTCTACGGTCCAAAAGTTGCACGGGAACGCGGTTGGCAGGGGTTACTCATACCGGGTGTACGTCTCTTTTCCGCTTGTGCTGCTCCTTCAACTGTGTCGTCGACGCGGGATGTTAGTATGAGAACGTCGCTTTGGAAACTATTCTCTCCTTCCAAGCTCCGGTATCGTCGGCACTTTTTGACGGAGAAAAGTAACACGCCTACTTGTACCTGCGACACATTTACACCGATAAAAAAAAAGGATATCACTTTTTTCATCAGCAACATTCTATGGTTCCAGTCTACAATAAATGAATTCCCTTTTGTGAATTCCCTTGTGCGATTGACGGCGATCCGCGGCGGATGGACAAATGCTTGTAGGTTATGGCTCCGTTTGTCGACGGTATTCAAATATACCTCTTCGGGGGCTTTGCAGCTCTCCCTGTCTCCATTTTTTTCTTCATTTGCTGAAGGATGCTCCAAAGTATACCTATCCGGAGAGGCAGTCTACCAAGTATAAAGCGGTATGAACGATCCACACCATACCCATTCAATCTCCCCAAGAATATCTGTCTGACTCCCACATCCTCTAAAAACAATGGGTGATTCTTGAGGAAACAAGGATAGCTTTGACTACAGCATCCCCAAAGAAAGCCTGCTGTGAGCAGTAATTAATAAACAGCAGCTAGGAGCAAAGTTATGGGTGGTAACGGAAAAACGATGGAGATTATATTTGTATTCGTATTTATTACTTATTGCTCTTCGCATTGACGTTTTCCTTGATATTTGCAGGACAAGTATATGGAATCGGAAAAAATACGGACAACGCCCTTGGTCTCGGAACGTGGACTGGAAATGATGATTCAGAACATTGGAAGTAGGTTCAGAGAGCGTTTGGTTGTTGTTTAAGGAGAGCGGAAATTGTGCCAGCCCTCGAAATGTGAAGTTTCATTATCAATAATGAATTTGTCATGAAGGTACTCCACCTTGGAACGCATTAAATTCCCACGAGAAGCTGGAAAAATCGCTGGAACGACAGCTAAATTAGGTTGTTCGATAGCATGGACAGAACATGGAGATGCTTATGCGTGGGGTTGTGACACTAGCGGTCAACTTGGCCTGGGATTAAAGGATGACGATGATAAGGTAAGGGAAAAGCAAGTTGTGCTACAGTGTTTGGCAGCATTCAGACTTCGCGACGACGCGCTGTAATGCGCGTCGACGCGCTACAATTGCAATGGCACTCCGAAGCCATCGAAGCGAATGCAGTCGTAGACGACTGGCGCCGATCGATTCCCATTCGATGG